ACCTATAATCCCAATGACTTGGGAGACTGAGGCAGAAGGACCAAAAGTTAAAGGTCGGCCTCAGCAATTTAGAGAGACTCTGTCTCAAAATAAAAAATAAAACTGTCTGGGAATGTAGCTCAGTGGTAAAGCATTCCTGGGTTCAATCTCTAGTGCCAAAACAAATCATTAATATCAAGGAGCTAAAGCAAGGGTTTATTAAATTCTGGAAAGAAAAAGATAAAATTTTACCAAATAGAAAGACTAAGTTACAGGGTACACAAGGAAGAATAGAGTTAAATTTAAAAAAAAAAATGTAGTATGGGGAATAGCATGGTGCTGCTTGCCTCTAATCCCAGAAATCTGGGAAGCTGAGGCAGGAAGATCACAAGTTCTAAGGCTAGCCTCAGCAATTTAGCAAGGCCCTAAGCAACTTTGTGAGATACTGTCTAAAAAAATAAAAAAGGGCTGGGAATGTGGCTCAGTGGTTAAATACCCCTGGATTCAATTCCGCGTACCTCTCCTCAAAAAAAATTGAGTAAGAAAGAATATAGCAGGAAAACTGACTTCTTCCCTACCTCACCCCCAATCCAACACTGAGAATTGAGCCTAAGGACAATCTACCAACTGAGTTATACCTCTTTTCATTTTGTGTCAGGGTCTCACTAAGTTGCAGAAGCTGGCCTAAAACTTGCAATCCTCCTGCCTTGGCCTCTAGAGGTATGCACCAAATGTATCCAGCTCAAACAGTTGTATCCTATACAGTGCCCAGGATCCAACCCAGGGCCTCATGAATGCTAGGCTAGCACCATACCATTGAGCTACATTCCCAGTCAAAACAAGTAAAAACTTAGAACAGAAAGCAGAAGCAGAAAAAGATCTAGAGAATCATTACAGAATAAAATGAAAGAATATCAAACCTATACAGACAAGTTTCTGTAGGAAAAATGAACAAATACTTGAAACTACCATCCTAGAAAACTGTCTAGATAGAAAAGACCTAGGGGACTCAGGGTGTATCTCAGTGGTTGAGGCTCAGGGTGTATCTCAGTGGTCAAACTCTTGTATAGCATGTACACATGTTCATCCCAGGCACAAACACCTAAAGAAGAAAATGTGAACATAGTTAGTGACTATACAAAATACTTTTACACAGCCAGGCAAGGTAGTGCAGGCCTATAATCCCAGCTACTTGGGAGGCTGAGGCAACAGCATTACAAATTCAAGACCGGCTTGGGCATTTTAGTGAGACCTTGTCTCAAAATTTTAAAAAATGAAAAGAGGATATAGCTCAGTAGTAGAGCTCTCCTGGGTTCAATCACCAACATCACACACACACACACACACAATACACTTCTGAACATATACATTTAAATATATTTTGCTTTTCACAAAATAAGCCAATCCCCCCAAAAAACCAAAGGCCAAATGTTTTCTCTGATGTGTGGATGCTAATTCATGATGGGGGGAGGGGGGCAGTGGGGAGAGGCTAGGGAAGAATAGAGTTACTTTATATTAGTTAGAGGGGAGTGAAGGGAGGGGAAGAGGAATGGGGGTAGGAAGGATAGTAGAATGAATCTGACAAAATTATTACCTATGTACATAAATAACTATATGACTGGTGGGATTCTACATCATGTATAACTAGAATAATGAGAAATTATACTCCATTATATATGATGTATCAAAGTGCATTCTAAACTGGGCACAGTGGCACACTCCTATAATCTCAGCGGTTGGGTAGGCTGAAACAGGAGGATGGCAAGTTCAAAGCCAGCCTCAGCAATGGCAAAGCGCTAAGCAACTCAGTGAGACCCTGTCTCTAAATAAAATACAAAATAGGGCTGGGGATGGGGCTCAGTGGCCAAGTGCCCCTGGGTTTAATCCCTGGTACCAAAAAACAAAAAGTGCATTCTATTGTCATACATGATTAACATATATATATATATATATATATTGCTTTTCAAAATAACACCATGGGTGGGGCTGGAGTTGTGACTCAGTGGTAGAGCACTTGCCTAACATATGAGGCACTGAGTTCGAATTTCCATACCACATATAAATAAAGGTCCATCAACATCTAAAAACAAAATAGTAAAAAAAAAAAAAGAAAGAAAGAAAGAAAAGAAAGTTACACTGTTTAAAAAAAAAAAAAAAAAAGAAAGAGGGACTGGGCCTGGGGCTGGGGCTCAGTGGCAGAGCACTCTCTTAGCATGTGTGAGGCTCTGAGTTCAATCCTCAGCACCACATAAAAATGAATAAATAAAATAAGGGTATTGTATCTAACTACAACTGAAAAAAAAAAAGAAAAAAGAAAAAATGACACCATGGGCTGAAGATACAGCTCAGTTGTAGAGTGCTCACCTAGCATGTGCAAGGCCCCGGGTTCAATTCCCAGCCCAAAGTTATAAACTTATTCTGGCAATGCTCAAAACATTTCTTTTTGGTGTTGCTAGGAGCCAGGCCTGGTGGCACATACCTATAATCCTAGCTATTTGGGAGGCTGAGGTAGGAGGAATACAAGTTTGAGGTCAGCCTGGACCAGTTAGCAAAATCCTGTCTCAAAACAAAAATTAAAAGGGCTGAGTGTGTAGCTCAGAGGAACAGCAACCCTGGGTTCAATCCCTAGGACGTCCCATTCCAAACACACACACACAACTGAATGTAGTTGAGAGGCAGATGATCAATATGGCTAGCACTATTACAGGTGTGTCCCACCAAGCCTGGCTATCCTCAGTTCTTTAAAAAATAAATAAATATATATATATATTTTAGTGATAAACACATTTTTATTTATTTATTTTTATGTGGTGCTGAGGATGGAACCCAGTGCCTCATATATGCAAGGCAAGTACTCTACCACTGAGCCACAACCCTAGAACCCTCCTCAGTTCTTAAGAGAGGTAAAGAGCATAAGTTTTTTTTTTGTTTGTTTGTTTTTTTCTTTTTTTATTTTTTAGTTTTCGGCGGACACAACATCTTTGTTTGTATGTGGTGCTGAGGATCGAACCCCGGCCACACGCATGCCAGGCGAGCACGCTACCGCTTGAGCCACATCCCCAGCCCCAAGAGCATAAGTTTTAAGAGTCACAAAGATTTGGATTTGGATGCAGGTACCAGCTTTAAAATTGAATGGTTCATTCCATGATGGTAAGTAGCTAAATCTCTCTGAGCTTCCCTTTCCTCATCTGTAAAATGGGAGGATTAAAGAAGAAAACAATGGGCAAGCACAACACCGCCACATAGGAGGTAATCGATAATGGCTATAATTATTATCAAGCTAGACTGGGAGACATGGAAGCAGGAAGTGTATCTTAATGTAACTGTATCTTAATTTAACAGTTAATAATTATTGTGCACCCACTATATCACAACCTATCACATAGTGGGTGCACAATAATTATTAACTGTTAAATCTTAAGGATTTTTTTTGTTGTTGTTGGTTTTGCAACTAACACCAAGTACACATTCTGGTGAACAGCAAGAACTTAACAATGTTCTGAACAAATAAAACAAAACTTATTTTTATGAACAAACCCTCAAGCCTTGCTTTGTAGTGAAGAAGTCAGAATAACCAGCATCTGTAGCCAAGAGCCCAACAAATTGCATTTCAGGTCGCTGCTGTATAAATCGCTCTACAGTTCCATCAGTGATAAAACTGCTGCCAGAAATATCCAGGGACACAACATTTGGCAGGATATCCTCCTGCTGTAACAAATGAAAAGCTAAGTCTGATTTGAGTTGCCTGTGATTGGAAATATCAAGGTGACGCAGATATTGAAGTTCTCTGATGACTCCAAGAATTTGTGGTTTGGTCATGGTCAGGCATTTCAGGTAGTGCATTGTGAGAAACTTGAGTCGATCCTTACAGTTAAGGAGTGCAGAGATGTTCGTGACCAGAGTATTGGAGATGTCCAAGTTTTCCAGGTTTGGTAACTGAGAAACATTAGCCAGATCTTCAGTATGAAAGCAAACGTTGAAAACACTTAAAATACGAAGTCCAGTGAGCTGACCAAAGGACAGCCGTTTTGAATCTTGAGGAATGCTTGTCGAGTCTAATAGGAGACACCGGAGATTTTGCTGGATCCAGCTATTGCTGCAGAGTCCACTTAAGATATCTGGGATTGGAAGGTCAGAGTGCACTGCAGTGGCATCTACTTCAACAAGCTTATGATGGCAGAAGGCTTTTATGAAGGCAGCTGCAGAGATTTTAGCTTTCTGGATATTTACCATCTTCAGGTTCATTTGGTTGCCTTGGAAAATACTTGCTGTTCTATCAGTCAGCTTGCCTATAAGAGAAGCAGAGCTAGCTTGTAATGACAATGAGATCTCATGTCTTCCCAGGATGCAATGTGGAATGAACAGACAGACAGATGCTAAGAATAATAAAGACTACATTTACCACTCACTCTGTGCCAGGCATTGTTCTAAATTCTTTACCAAGATCATCTCACTCTTGCACTAACATATACAGGAACTACTACTACTATTATTATATAGATGAGGAAACTGAAGCTTGAAGAGGTTAAATAACTTGCAGGTTTAAAATATGTGGTAAGTTGGACTCCAGAGACCAAAGTGATATTTATAGTAACCTTATTTATAGAAATGAAAAATGAAACTAAACAGGTATGTAAATGACATATAAATGTAAATAACTCTTTGCTGACTGATCACTTTCCCCCTCCCCCAGTACTGGGGATGGAACACTAAGATTTCCATCCATCTTTTTTTTTGAGGTACATTTTGCTAAGTTGCCCAAGATGGCCTTGGATTTGCCCTCTCAAACTCCGAGGCGCAAACAATCCTCCTGAGCAGCTGGAACTACAAGCGTGCCTCCCTGCTTTACCTAATAATTTCTCTGCATCTTTCTATGTTTAGATATACAAATATTTACCATTATGTCACAATTGCTTGTAGCACTCAATTGGGTATCATGATATATGGGTGTGTATCCTAGAAGCAACAGGCTTTACCATCTATCTATGTTTGTGTAAGTAAATTATGATGTTCACACAGTTTGTTTGTTTGTTTGGTACTGGGGATTGATTTTAAGGGCACTCTACCACTGAGCTCTAGCCCTACCTATTTTTCATTTTTTTTTTAAAATATTTATTTATTTATTTATTTTAGTTCTCGGCAGACACAACATCTTTGTTGGTATGTGGTGCTGAGGATCGAACCCGGGCCGCACGCATGGCCAGGCGAGCGCGCTACCACTTGAGCCACATCCCCAGCCCCCTATTTTTCATTTTGAGACAGGGGCTCACTATGTTTCCAAGGCTGGCTCAAACTTGCAATTCTCCTTCCTCAGCCTCCTGAATCGCTGGTATTACTAGTAGGTACCACCCATCTGGCAGATCTTTTTTAGAATATGTGCCCATTGTTAAGTGTGGCATGGCTGCAGTCAAGAAAGTATGTAAACCCAGGTAGTCTGGTTCTAAAGCCAGAGCTCTAAATCTTTAATCCTTACTGCCTTTAAGGGGAAGCCAAATAAGTAGAAATCTTATTAGGCAGCAGCCACTGAGAGTGGAACAAAATTAAAAGAATATCATGACTCACCAACCCAGAAAAGAAACAGAAAAACAAGGAGATATTTGGACACATGGTTCTGAAGCTCAGAATAAAGGACTAAGCTGAGAACTCTGGGGAATTAGTAGTAGTAACTAAACCTAGGAAAATTACCCAAGAAGTGTGCAAAGTAAGAAGGGTTTTCAATGTCATGTATATCTAAAAAAAATAAAAATATATAAAAAAGAAGGTATTCAAAATAAAACCTTGGGGCTGGGGAGGTGGCTCAAGCGGTAGCGCGCTCGTCTGGCGTGCATGCGGCCCGGGTTCGATCCTCAGCACCACATACAAACAAAGATGTTGTGTCCGCCAATAACTAAAAAATAAATATTAAAAAAAAAAAAAGTTTAAAAAAAAAAATAAAAAAAATAAAACCTTATTTATGGTATGTACAAGCAGAAAGCTAACTGTGGAACAGCTCAGAAAACAAGAAGAAATCAGAAAAACACTAAGTCAGAAAAGTCAACGACAGCAAATGAACACAACAATTCTAACCTCAAGAACTCCTGCTTTTGGGTGTTTGCAATGATAATCTATCTACGGACATAATAATCATAGCAACAATCAACCAGAAAAACTTCATAGAACCATAAATGAAGTACAAGGAAACACACACACATAGCCTGAATCTGATCAAACATCCAATTAACACAAAATACAGGGATCAGAGAAACATGTCAATATCAGAGCACACAAGGATGGATGGAGGTAGAGCACTTGCCTAGCATGTGTGAGGCACTGGGTTAGATCCTCAGCACCACATAAAGTAAAATAAAGACATTGCAATCACCTATAACACATATTTTATATATATATAATATGTGTTCAGTTAATAATGGCAAAATCCAGATTGTACAAAACTCTATAGAACAAGCAACTGGTTTCTTTAAAGCACACACACATGGTGGCAACATGCCTGTAATTTCAGCTACTTAAGAGGCTTGGGCAGGCAAATCACAAGTTTAAGGCCTGTTTCAAATTTTTTTAAAAAAATGGGGGTGCTGGGGATGCAGCTCAGTGGTAAAGTGCCCTCTGAGTTCAATCCCCTGTACCAAAAAACAAAACAAAACAACCAGGCCTAGGGTAGAGATGTAGTTCAGTGGTTAAAGTGTTCCTTCCTAGTTTCAATCCCTAGTGTTAAAAAATTAAAATAGTAATGGTATGCAGCTCAGTGATAGCATCACTGGGTTCAAGCCCCAGTACAAAAAAAGACAAAGAAGAGAGAAGGAAGGTGACAAGGAGGGAAGAGGGGAAATAGAGGGAAGGAAGGATAGAAGGAAGAAAGAAAAAAAAGAACAATCCTCAAACTTTTAAGAAACCACAAAAAACTCATAATAACCAAAGCTAGCTTGAGCCAAAAAAACAAAGCAGGAGTCATTACACTACATGACTTCAAATAAACTACAAAGCTACAGTAATGGAACCAGTATGGGGACAGGGAGGTATAGTTCCGTGTAGGGAACTCAGCCTAGCAGGCTTCAAGTTCTAGGTTAGATTCCCCAGTACTCCAAAACAAAACAAAAATACTGGTATAAAAACAGACACACAAACCAGTGGAATAGAACTGAGAACCTAGTAGTCAACACACACCATCTATAGCTCTTGATATTCCACCAAAGAGCTAAGAAAATGCAATAGAGAAAGACAGTCTTTTCAATAAAACAGTGCTAGGAAAATTGGATATCCACATACAGTAAAATGAAACTTGATCCCTACCTTTCACCAGTTACAAAAAAAATGCAAAATGGATTAAAGACTTACATGTGAGACCTTAAGGTATAAAAGTACTAGACGAAATGCTTCAGGACACTGGAAGTACAGAAAACAAAAAAGCAAAAAGAGGCAAATAGGATTACAACAAACTTAAAAACTTCTGGGTTCAGCAAAGGAAACAAATCTACCAACTGAGAGAAAATACTTGCAACTATGCTTCTGAAAAGGTGTTACTATATAAAGAACTCAAAACACTCAACAGCGAGAATTAATACTAATCTGATTAAGAAATGAACAATAGGGGCTGGGATTGTGGCTCAGAGGTAGAACGCTCACCTACCATGTGTGAGGCACTGGGTTCAATCCTCAGCACCACATAAAAATGAAATAAAGATATTGTGTCCACCTATAACTAAAAAATAAATTTAAAAAAAAAAGAAANTGAGGCACTGGGTTCAATCCTCAGCACCACATAAAAATGAAATAAAGATATTGTGTCCACCTATAACTAAAAAATAAATTTAAAAAAAAAAGAAAGAAATGGACAATAGCTGGGCACAGAGGCACATAACTGTAATCTCAGCAACTGGAAAAGCTGAGGCAGGAGGATTCCAAGTTCAAGGCCAGGTTCAGCAATTTAGTGAGACCTTGTCTCAAAATTAAAAAATATTACAGCATCCCCAGCATCAATCTCCCAGTAGCACGTGCGCGCACGCACGCACACACACACACACACACGCACGCACGCACGCACGCACACACACGCACGCGCACACACACACACACACACAGGTTCATATCCATAATGTAAAGAATGGGAGATGATACTACAGCAACAGCATTTTGAAAAATATAAGATGGACAAGTGACAACTTAGTTTTCCATTTACCTGGTAAGCCAAGAGCAAAATGAACTTAGAGTCAAAACAATTTCTATCATAGTATCTGAGAAAGACTGAAACTCAACTTTCACACAAGTAAAATGCAAATAATTTGTATGTAAAGGTGCTTTTCAAATAGTAAAAAAATTGCTGTGAGAGTGAGAGTAGTCTACAGAGGAACCTTATTACCTTGACAAACCATCATCCCAAGGAATCGATCAGCTATTTCCTGAGGGAAACTCCAATGCTCTGGAAAGCACAGTGTTCCATCAGGTTTCTCAGAACACAATTCTTCCAGATTAGCAATCAGGACATTCATGCAGATGTTGGCCAATGTATAGGGTGATGCCTCCTCCTAGCAAACAAATTCCAAACCTTGTTAGAACACATCTACAAATATTCAGCATAAAAGTGGTCATGCCTATATTCCTACTCTAATAATGATTTACATGTAATAGAACCACCTTGGGCTGGGGTTGTAGCTCAGTGGTAGAGCACTTGCCTTGCACGCATGAGGCATTGGGTTGGAACCTCAGCACCACGTTAAATAAACAAACAAATAAAGATTTTTAAAAATCTCAATTTCAGTTCAATATCTGGGATTTTTCAAGCAGAGATATAAGTCATTCCTTCAAGATAATTTTTTTTTTTTTTTTGTGTGTGTGTGGTGCTGGGGATTAAACCCATGGCCTTGTGCATGCAAGGTAAACACTCTACCAACCCTGAGCTAAATCCCCAGCCCCAAGGTACATTTTTTAAAGTTATTATTCTGTGACAGAGGATAAAAAGGCCTATTCCCACTTTCAAAGATGTTCACAACCAGGACTAGAGGATGTACCTCAGTGGCAGAGCACTTGCATGAGATGCATGAGGTTCTTGGTTTGACTCCCAACAAAGTAAAAAAAATTAAATGTATGGTGTGTGCCTACTGTCCCAACTACTTGGGTTACTGAGGTTGGTGGATCACTTAAGCCCCTAAGTAGGAGACCAGTCTGGGCAACATAGTGAGATGCCAGTTTAAAAAAAATAAAAAGCCAGACACAGTAGCACACACCTGTAATCCCAGTGGCTCAGGAGGTTGAGGCAGAAGGATCCCGAGTTCGAAGCCAGCCTCACTAAAGGCGAGGTGCTAAGCAACTCAATGAGATCCCATCTCTAAATAAAATACAAAATAGGGCTGGGGATGTGGCTCAGTGGTCATGTGCTCCTGAGTTCAATCCCCGGTAACCCGCCTTCCCCCAACCCAAAAAAAAAGGGTGCTTTAAAGAGTTGAGGTTAGGGTTGTGTGGTTCAGTGGTAGAGCACTTGCCTAGCATGTATGAGGCACTGGGTTCAATTCTCAGCACTGCATATAAATAAATAAAATAAAGTCCATTTACAAGTAAAAAAAAAATTATAAAAAGAGTAGAGAACTGAAAGGGAGGTGAGACTCTAGAGGCACATGGTCCCTTTCTCATCCAAAATAGGTTGATATGGTACTATATTAGACCCCAAAAGATTAATATGCTGGAGATTGCTAACTTTTTCAGAAACTTCAACATGCAACACATCTCTGACCTCCACAGCATTTTGGACTTCTTAAATTCCTTCCATGGAAGTTGGGGATGCAGCTAAGTGGTGCTCTTGCCCAGCATGCACAAGGCCCTGGATTTAATCCCCAACACCACAGAATAATTAATAATAAATAAACATGATGGCACACACTSAGGAGACTAAGGCAAGAGGATCACAAGTTCAAGGCCAGCCTGGGAAACTTAGCAAGATCCTATCTCAAAATAAAATATACAGGGTGGGCATGTAGCTCAGTTCCAGTGATACAGAGCTTGCCTAGAATGTGTGAGGCTCTGAGTTCAACTCCAGTGTCTCGAGGGGTGCAGGGAAACACGGGAACCAGGCTTGATGGCACAGGCCTAATCCCAGCTACTCAGGAAGGCTGAAGCAGGAGGATTCCAAGTTCAGCAACTTAGCAAGGCCCTTTGCAAAATAAAAATTCTTTATAAAAAGATCTGGGCATGTAGCTGGACACAGTGATACATGCCTGTAATCCCAGCGGCTCAGGAGCCTGAGGCAGGAGGATCACAAGTTAAAAGCTAGCCTCAGCAACTCAGCAAGGCCCCCAGTAACTCAGCAAGACCCTGTCTCTAAATAAAATTTTAAAAGAGCTGGGGATATGGCTTTGTGATTAAATATCCTTGGGTTCAATCCCTGGTAACAAAAAAAAAAGAAGAAGGAAGAGCTGGACATGTAGCTGAGTGGTAGAGCACCCATGGGTTCATTTTCCAGTACTACTGGGGAAAAAAAATCTGGGAATGTGATGTGGCTCAGGGCTTGACTAATATGCACCAGGTTCCTGGGCTGAATACCCAGTRTAGGAAAAAATAAAAATAAAATAATAATAAATAGAATTACATACAACATTCTGCTACTTGTTTTTGTTGTTAAAACCAGTATTGATGTTTTTGCTATCCACTCTATTCAGTTTCTAAGTCACTTTATCTGTTTTCCATATTCTTTTTTTTAATATTTATTTTTTAGTGGTAGTTGGACACAATACCTTTATTTCACTTATTTATTTTTATATGGTGCTGAGGATCGAACCCTGGACCTCGCACGTGCTAGGTGAGTGCTCTACCGCTGAGCCACAACCCCAGCCCCTGCTTTCCATATTCCACCAAGAACATTATTGTCTTTGCCATTACAAAATCTGATACTTTTTTTTTTGGGGGGGGGGCACTGAATTCAGGGGCACTCAACCACATGAAACCACATTCCCAGACCTATTTTGTATTTTATTTAGAGACAGGGTCTCATTGAGTTGATTAGTGCTTGCTTTTGCTGAGGCTGACTTTGAACTTGTGATCCTCCTGCCTCAGCCTCCTGAGCCACTGGGATAAACAGGCATGTGCCATCGTGCCTGGCCTAACAGATACTTTCTGATACTCTTCATAGTGACTCTCTTCAGCAGATTCAGATATAACTGACCATTCCTTTCTTCAAACACTTTCCTTGGCTTCTGTGACAACACCTTCCTTTCCTTTCCTGTTCTAGTTTACCTTATTTGCTCCTTTTTATCTGAAGACTTTAAATGTTGGAAATATTCAGAGTTTCATCCTAGAACTGTGCTGTCCAATTTGATTGCCAGTACTCACATGTGGCTATTTCCATTCAAATTAAAATAAAAATTTCAGGGCTAGCCACATTTCAAGAGACATGGCTAGTGGCTACCATACTGGGTAGTGCAGATATACAACATTCCTTTATCACAGAAAGTTTTCCAGGACAGCACTGTGCTAGGCCCTTTCTTTGCTTCTACAATATATAACTACTGATCGCCTGACTAAATGCTCTCTCTAAAGCCAATGAATTCCAGATTATTATCTCCAGGTCAGACTTCTCTTTCAGCCAGTCTTGGATATCCAATTGGCTACTACTGATGTATCACTTAACTGTGTTACGAAAACATTTCCAACTCATCCTGCACAAAAATGAACTTTCCCAGTGTTTCCCAGCTCCAAAAGTGCTATGTATCTTCAGCTGATGAATCTACCACACCTCCTGGTCTTTGACCAAAGCTGCCGGCCAGTATCCAATGCATCAGCAAATCCCATGTATTCTATCTTGTATACCACTTACCTCCCACCCAGATTCACAAGAAACTCAAAGATGAGGAAATGGAGGAGAAAGTTAGAATGTATTCTAGTTTCCAAGTGCTGCAATAAACAATTACCACAAAACTGGCAGCTTAAAACAACAGAAATCTATTTTCTCAATTTCAGAGAACAAAATTCCAAAATCAACGGGTCAGCAGGGCCACATTCCCCTCTGAAGGCTGTAGGGGAGAATTTTCCTTGAGTATTCTAGCTGTGTTGGCTCTTAGCTCTCCACAGCTTATTGAAGCATCACTTTGCTCTCCACCTTTATCTCTATGTGGCCTTCTTCCATATCTCTGCTCAAATCTCCCTCTCTTTGCTTTTATATATATTCATTTATCAGACAGTGCTAGGGATCCAACCTAGGGTCTTGAGTGTGCTAGGCAAGCACTCTACCACTAAGATAACCTCCAGTTACCTTTCTTTTATGAGATTATCACTATAATAAGTGGTATTTAGTTGATTTGGAGTACATCCTAAATTTAGATGATCTTACCAAGAACTTCAACTAGGTGCAGCACACCTGTAATCCCAGAGGCTTAGGCGGCTGAGGCAGGAGGACCACAAGTTCAAAGCCAGCCGTCAGCAAATTTAGTGAGGCACTTAGCAACTCAGGGAGACCCTATCTCTAAATCTAAATAAAATATTTAAAAAGGGCTGGGGACCCGGTCTCTAAATAAAATATTTAAAAAACAGTTGGGGACATAGCTTGCTGGTTAAGCACCTCTGGGTTCAATTCCTGGTGCAAAAAAAAAAAAAGAAGAACCTCAATAGCATCTATAAAGAAAGACCCTCCCAAATAAGGTCAAATTCACAGATAGCAGGAGTTGGATTGTAGACATATTTGGGGGGAAACAATTCAATTCACTACAGCATATGTCCCTAGCTCTCTGAAAAGTTACCCTGGGTYGGCAGTGTCCCTTAACCAGTCCTCTAAAATTCAGCCCTTTTTCCTTTTGTAAGGTCCTCTGGGTGGTAAACTGCTATTACCAGGCATAGAATACTATATGCGGGTATGAGGACACATGCCTGTAATCCCAGTGGCTGGGGAGGCTGAGGCAGGAAGATCAGGAGTTCAAAGCCAGCCTCAACAAGTTAGCAAGGGGGCTGGGGATGTGGCTCCAGGGGTAGCGCGCTCGCCTGGCATGTGTGCGGCTCGGGTTCGATCCTCAGCATCACATACAAACAAAGATGTTGTGTCCGCCGAAAACTAAATAAATAAATATTAGAAAAAAAAAAGTTAGCAAGGCCCTAAGCATCTCAGAGAAATCCTCTCTCTCTAAATAAAATATAAAAAAGGGATAAGGATGTGGTTCACTGGTTAACCACCCCTGGGTTAAATCCTTGGTACAAAAAAAATATATTTTTTTTAATTAAAAATACTGTATGGCTTTTTCCATACTTGACCCTTATTMTATTTGGAAACAGCCCCTTAAACTCTCCTTGGATTATCCCTATTTTGAATCTGTCATTTGTTTCCTGCTTGCAAATGGCAGAAATAAATTTCTAGACTATCTCCTCCTTTCTAGCCCCACCATAAGTTTCAAACCCAAGTCACTACTATTTTACCTAGCGTCCTACAAATCTGCAAATCAGTTTTTCCACTTTCACTTCTAATTCTTTCTCCAATCTATCTACCCAGAAGACAAGACTCACCATTGTTAAAGTATAATTATACTATATGACTGTTTTTTTAAAAAAAGAGACAGAATTTTTTTTAATTTCCATTTAATTGACCACTTCTTTAAGAGAGAGAGAGAATTTTTAATATTTATTTTTTAGTTCTCGGCGGACACAACATCTTTGTTGGTATGTGGTGCTGAGGATCAAACCCAGGCCGCATGCTACCGCTTGAGCCACATCCCCAGCCCACTATATGACTGTTCTAACTAGAAAATGCTCAAATTAGTACAAGGTTTAAAAAAAAAAAAACTATTGCTATAGGCAATCAACAATCAGATAGAAAACAGAATTTGTTTAAGTTACAATACCATTTTTAAAATATCAAATAAAGAGCTGGGCATGGTGATGCACATCTGCAGTTTCAGCTACTCAGAAAGCTGAGGCAGGAAGATCACCTGGGTTCAAGGCTGATCTGGGCAATGCAGTGACACCCTGCACCTTAAAAAAAAAAATGCATGCATCACAAATACAGTGCCTAATAAGGAAGAAAACAAAAATATACACATCGTGGCACCTATGAAGTTCAGCTCACATTAAATTATAATCAAACATGAGCAGGAAAAAAAATTTCAGTCAGAAACTGGTGAAGAAATAAATAAAATTAGCCGGGTATAGTGCTACACGTCTGTAATCATAGTGGCTCAGCAGGCTAAGGAAGGAACTAAAATTCAAGGCCAACCTCMGCAATTTAGTGAGACCTTGTCTCAAAACACTTAAAAGGGGCTGGGGATGTGGCTCAGGGTTTGAGCACTGCTGTGATGAATCCCTGGAGAGAGAGAGAATATGAATGAATCTAAATGTTAGGGTCTCCAACTTTACATTAGTAAAAGGGGGATTAGTAATTGCCCACAGAAGACAGGAGATTAACGCTTATTTCGGAAATGCGATGCTTCACACACAACAGGTGCTAAATACACGTTCTGTGGCTTTAGTTTGAAAGACGCGGGCAGGTGGATTCCGGCAATTCCGACAGTCTCCCCACGGTCCCCCGGCCCTAAGCCCCGGATAGCCCGGGCGAAGGGTCGGTCTCCGGGGAACGCCTGGTCTAGGGCGCACGCGGAGGTGCGCTCAAGGTTCGAGGCCCCCAGGGCTCAGCCAGACAAAATCGCCTMGACCTGCCGCGGGCCGGCTGAGCGTCCTGCCAACACCCAGGTGCCTGCGGCCAGAGCCAGGTGAAGGTCAGAGTTGGAGCCCCGAGGGGCCGGCCCAGGAGCCGCCTCGACTGCTCAAAGTCAGCRCGCCGACCTGCGGCTGAGGTGCACGACCCAGTCGGCCATCCCGGGACCGACTAGGGGTCGGCCTCTGGAGACTTCACCCGCGCGCGTACCAGTYCCCGCCGAGCGCCTCTGCTGCACCTCCGACGGAAAGTCGCGCCGAGGCCGGCTTCCCGGCCTCGCGGTTCTCACCTGCACCACGCAGCAGCCTGGGGCATCTTTCTGGGCGTCGGGTAGGAGGAGGTTCCGGGGTGTCAGGCCCGGGTGCAAGAAGTGGACCATGGTGACCCCCCGCTCGTGGGGCGTCGAAGAGAGAGCTATGTCGAGCTGGGGCCAGGGTCCCGCGGGGGCCGGAGTCGGTCCGCGGTGGGCGACAGCGGGGCAGCACCTACTACGCCCGACTTGCCAGGCCACAGGGGTTTTGAAACGCCTGGCGAGGCGGAGCGCAGGCGCCCCAGGAGGTCGTCCCGCCGCAGACCCCGCCCTCAGAACGGCCCTGCTCTGCCCCCACCCGCACCCAGCCTCCACCCTCCCAAGGCCCAACCGTCCTCTTCAAGGGCAACTTTCCAGCTGCTGGTCTATTCACCCAACTCCTACGCACCCTTCAGAGGCCCGYGGCCCACAAACTCACACACTCCTAGTCCCAGTGATCCTGGAAGTTAAGGCTGGTGGATCACAAGGTCAGCCTCAGCAATTTAGCCAGGCCCTGAGTAACTTAATGACACCCGGTCTCAAAAGTTTAAAAAAAAAATTAAAAAAATTTAAAGAGTTTATGGATGTATCTCAGTGGTAAATCACCCCTGGGTTCGGTTCCCATTAAAAAAAAAAAAAAATCGTCCCTGGTAAGGATACAAAACAAATATCAAAAATCTTGGGGCGGGGGAACTGTTGAACTTTCTTCTGACTTGAAAAGTATTGGGAAGATCCTTATATAATCCGCTCCAAGAAAGAAACCTAGTAGATTAAAATATTTTAGCTGATTTAAGGAAAAAAATATGTCCTGTGTTGGAATACTAACTCAGCCGTCTATTAATTTGTGAACTTTGGTCAAGATTCTTTTTTGTACTGAAGCTTAACGTCCTTATTAGTAAAATAGGATGAGAATGCTTTTATCTCAAAAGGTTAACGTGAGGATTAAATAAAATAATGTATGTAAAAACACCACAATGCAAGTCCTTGATGAGTGGATTCAAATGTTAAAATTACTTTTCATGTAGAAATAACTTTGCAAAATGCTTTCCTTTAACGATTACTCCTCCTCTTTTTAAAAGTGGGCTATTTGGTGTCCTCCATTCCTAAAATTCAAACACCTCCTCCCCCATCCACAGTAACTTTTCTTTTACTGAAAAACCAAAAACTATCACAAGCTCTGATATGAGTACCAGAAAATGTTWTACGATTATTGACTGTGGGTATTTTAATTAGTGTGTGTGTTAAATTAAAATCTGTAACCATTATGTCCATGATGTAATGTGAACTGCAAAACTTAAGATAAACTGCAGAATTTAAGATAGTGATATAAGAATCTACACCGGGGCTTAGACCCCAGAGCTCACCCAGTTATCAGCTGGAAGAACAACTGAATTAGGACTTAAAAGCCCAGCCTTAGGGAGCCCGCGGGACTGACAGGACCCAAACAGAGAGGCGACATGACACTTCCGGTCCCTGTTGCCTACCCTGCACCAGACTCCTCAGGCCGGGATGGAGTTCTAGCGACCTGGACTTGAGACACATTAGAGGTGAGTGTCTTGGACCTTTGGGTGTAGACTCAGTTAGGACTTAGGGTGTGTGTYTGAAGTGTGATGAACATTAATAAAGTAGATTTGGTTGAATCTAACTGTGCCTCAGACTGATATGGGGGAAGTATTCCTACCTGTAAACACTCTGCCTTCCCCTCCTTCCTCTTAAAAACTGTTTGTACTCTTAGCTAAGGCCAACCCATGGGCTTGTGCTCTAAATCCCATCACATCTGGCTTACTCCAAGACAACGTCCAGCAACAGAATTTGCATGCCATTTTATTAGCTTATTTTCCAAAAGAAGAAACTGATGGGTTTTTGGTTGGGGATTGGGTGTTCCCCACCACCACCACCACCAATGCTGAGGAAACCCAACCCAGGTTACCAAAACTAGTGGCTACATCTTCAACCATTTTTATCTTTTTTTATTTTAAGAGAGGTCTCTGTATATTGCCCAGGCTGGCCTTGAACTTGCCATCTTCCTGCCCCCCACCAAATAGCTGAGATCAGCACCACCACGCCCAGGGCCAAATTTATCAGAATTTTGAATACTGAGAAGACATACTAACAGCCTATGTGTTTTTTTTTTTTGTCTTCTCAAACAGATAGGATGTTTTTCAAAGGAAAAGATTCTGTGTTGCTCTCGGACCTTCAAGAAGTCTTTATCTCTTCATGGGCATCAATTGCTTCACTGTTGAAATAGAATAAGGTGCCAGATCTGAGGCACTCCATCACTCTGCAATTCTCTGGATCCCTCCTTTCCCTCCTCTAATATGTTCAATGGGTTTTCCAGGAATATTTACTTTATCGTGTGTGTGTGTGTGTGTGTGTGTGTGTGTGTGTCTCCTAGTACTGGGGTCTGAACCCAGGGATTTCTGTATGTGAGACAGGAACTCTACCACTGAATTATGCCCCCAACTCTTTTCATTTTATTTTGAAACTTAATCTTGTTAAATTGTTCAGGTTGTCTGGAACTTGCAATCCTCCTGCCTGATCTCTCCTGCCTCAGCCTCCTGAGTAGTTGGGATTAAGTAGTGAACTTTTTTTTTTTTAAAGAATTTGCAGTTTATTCTGCTGTCATGTATAGCGAATTAGAATTAAAAAAAAAAGAATTTGCAGCTTAATGACAAATAAAAGGAAAATTTAATAAAGTGGTAATCATTGTATTGAGCAGCTATTGAGAATTGTTCAAGCAGGAGCCCAGCCCCTTTAAAAAAAAATTTTTTTTAAGTTTTTTTTTCCCCCCAGCACTGAGGATGGAATTCAGGGCCTCACATAGGAGCCACATCCCCAGCCCAAAGGTTTGTCATCTTTTTTTTTTTTTTTTTTAAAGAGAGAGAGAGACAGAGAATTTTAAGATTTATTTTTTAGTTATCAGTGGACACAACATCTTTGTTTGTATGTGGTGCTGAGGATCAAACCTGGGCCGCATGCGGGCGAGGCGAGCATGCTATTGCTTGAGCCACATCCCCAGCCCTTTAAAAAATTTTTTTTTGAGACTGTCTCATTAAATTGTTTAGGACCTTGCTTAATTGCTGAGGCTGCCTTCCAACTTGTGATCCTCCTGTCTCAACCCTCAGAGTCACTGGGATTACAGGCATGTGCAAATTTTTTTTTCCACTTTTATCTTTTAGTTGTTTTTTTTTTTTTAAGGTGGACACAATATCTTTATTTCATTTTTATGTGGTGCTGAGAATCGAACCCAGTGCCTCTCGCATGCTAGGCGAGTGCGCTACCATTTGAGCCATATCCCCAGCCCTTGCAAATTATACCAAGGAAAATTCCTGATGGTTGAACCACACTGCAAAGAAAAGACTACCAACTCCAATTTTAAATCAAATTAAAGCAAGCTTGTATTTGTGTACACTGGAGCTGGCCAGGACTGTCTCTCCCAAAAACCCCAGGCTAGAGATCAATACCCCAGCTCTCTGGGAACAAGGTTTTATAGCACAAAAAGTTGCAAAGGGGGGTGTCTTGAGAACTTAGAGCTAACAGGATTTTGACAAGCATAATACAAAGGCAGATAGTAGATTAATGATCTACATGGCATGATATTTCAAGGTAGGGAGTAAATTCAGATCCCAACATCAGAATTTATGAGGTGTCGCTAACTAAGATTTTAGAAAGTGTTGTTATCTGGTCAGGGAAAGCCAGGCATGGGTGAGTTCAAGGCACAGTCGGGTTCCACCATTCGACCAGCGCACTGGTTTCATTAAAGAGGTTCTTGGCATAAAAGTTAGCTAGCAAGATCGAAATAAAACACACAGACTCAGTTACCTTTTTCTATGACCAGGTCCGAGACGGCTCTCCCTCTGAACTCCCACCTCGAACCACCCGGTAGGGCAGCAAAGGTTACTCAGGGCTAGCAGGAGAGAGAGAGAGGGAGCATGCCAGGGAGTAGCCTTTTATTGGGGAACAAGAAATTCAGGGGAGAATTCCATCCAATGAAGGTTGAGGGTGGCCGCACTCCAAGGTCAGGGTCAGTGATTGGCCCCCGGGGTCAGTGGTCAGTCACACCCCCACACGGACAGGCTCTCGAACCAGGAGAGGGTCGGGAAAGCTCCGACACAGTTTAGCCAGAGTGCCTCAGACCCAAACTGGGAGTTGCCCAGTCACGTATGAGAATGGCTCCCCACAGTCAGGAATTCCAAACAAGTTTAGAAATCGCAGTAATTTATAGTAAAACAGAAATTAACTTTTCGTGACTTTTTGACAAGATGGCTCCCAATCTTAAGATGGAATTCCCCCCTTGTCTTATGTGTCCCTTTCAAATCTTTGATAGGGTGGAGGAAGAGCTCTGAAGGAATTTTAATCCCTCAGGGGACAGTCTCCAATTTTCCAGACTTACCTAATGGCCTCCTTGATCTGACCTGACTTGATTTACCTATCTACACTGTCTGTCCATCTAATTCTGGTTTTATTCCCCCCTTTCTAATTTTAGGAACTTTCTACTACTGTAAGGAAAAGGAGTAATGACCACCTGGCTGCTTCGCCAGAAGGGGCAAGAAGTTTGTAGTTCCCTTTTAGAAGTCAGGTTGGATTGAAGTTAGGTTGGATTGAAAATCTGGTTGGAGAAGAACACGTTGTAAAGTCCTCTGGGGATAGGTTCTTCTAAAAGAGAGAAACAAAAAACATGAGTATTGAACAAATATTGCAGCTTCTGGAACATGTCAATGAATATCATAAAGACAACAGAAGTTAATATTTTTTGAGAATTTTTTTTAATATTTATTTTTTTTTAGTTCTCGGCGGACACAACATCTTTGTTGGTATGTGGTGCTGAGGATCGAACCCGGGCCGCACACAAGCCAGGCGAGCGCGCTACCGCTTGATCCACATCCCCAGCCCAACAGAAGTTAATATTGTCTCACCAGGAGATGTGAAGACTGAGAAGCTGTTC